CATCCGCCATCGGCACCCGAGCAGTAGAGATGGGAGCAAGGCAGGTCTAGCGTGTTGGCCGGACCGCGAGCTGGCCACCACCTATAGGCGCCCAGGCACCACGCGGTCCGCCCACCCGCCTCCGTTCCCCGTTCCCTGCCGCTCTCCCGCGGTCTCCCGCTCCACGCCGCTCTTCGCCCCTCCCCCGCTCCGTCCGCCGCCTCCCCCGCTGTGGCCGCCGCCCCCCGCGGGCGTCCTCCGCGCCACGCCGACCGACAACGGCCGGCCGTTCCGCGACGCTATGATTGCTGCATGCCCCGTTCCCCCCCCTCGCCCACCCACATTCTTCGTGCTTGTGTTGCGCAAGAGACACGTGGCCCCATCTTGTCGGCCGCGGCCGCGGCCGAGGGCCTGCGCTCGTAAGCGGTTGTCAGCGCCGTTCCCCCCTCCCCTTACTCCTCCCCATCCTCCTGGCGGTTTCCGGCGACGTTTCTCCCTCCTCTTCTTTCTCTTCCTCTTCCTCTTCTTCCTTTTCCTCCTGCCGTGGCGCTGGTCAGCCTTGTTCGCGCCCTCCCAACAAAGCCGGTGAGGGAGCTCGGGAAGTCTATTCCCTGGCGGTGGCGGAGGTGGTCCGGGTGCGCCAACCGCTGGGTGGGGGGCAGAGAAGCGGACGTCGGCTGAGATCGTGGCAGGGGCGGGAGGGCGTCTTCAGCATCGTGGATACATTTTGGGTCAGGTATAATTTCCTCCCGCCCGGTCGTGTTCCAACCTGTTCTGCTCTCAATGGCCATATTCTTTCCTCATTTCTCATATCCGGAAGCCGCGAGCATTTGTCCAAACCCATGTCCCAACCTGCTTTCGCTTTGAGCACCAGACAGAATTTCGATCACCAGGGAAATATCGAAACCTGAGGGTTTTCAGGTGTCGGGCCCTGGGAGGCGACACTCGTTCGACACTGTTTCGATATTTGGTATGATTTTTTGTTTGGGATGTGGTCTTCATGCACGATGGGATCGACAGAATTCGAGTAGTGGCTCGACTACATAGTTGACTTGCCCAAGCTTGATTGTCCCATCGAATCTGCAGGACATAGGTATAATGCCATGTGGATTTACGGAGCAGTATACGCAGTTGTTGTAGATTTATTCCACGGAGCAAAACACTCGATATCTCTCGGACGTATGCGCATGTTTTGGGTGGCGAAGACAATCGATGATCATCCTGGATCCTATGGCAAAACGCGCGCGATACCGAAACACACACACACACACACACACACGTACAGGTGACTGACGCCCGAGCGGTGGCAAGAAACATCTAGCTTGGGGTATCCTCCAATTCTGTGGTCGATCCCCTCCTCGAGTGATGTCCGCCCTCCGCTGTCGTTTCGGAGCTGCGCCGGCTGCCGGCGTCCGTCGGCCGCGGGCACAGGGGGACAGGGGGAGGGGGGAAGGCTTCTTAGAAAGACCCCTGCTTCTCATAGAGGGCGCGGGCCTTGTCTGTGGAGGCAAGGCCGGCGCCTCTTCAGGAGCAGCCTCCCTCCAAGACGCCTTCCCCCTTCCCCCCTGCCCCCTTCTGCGCGCCGCCAAGTCAGCCTCGGGCCGTGGCGCCTTGCGGCCGCCCCGTCCCGAGGCCCTCGAGAAGGACCCGAAGGCCATGGCGAAGGACCCCCCTTGGCCATGGGGCGCAGTGGGGCCGTGGCGCCGTGCGGCCGTACCGAGGTCAGAAGGTTTTCGGAAGATGTTCAGGAGGTCCGAGGTGCAAGGTCTCGACGGGATCGTTCGGAAGTTTTCGCCGGGTCTCGACAAGGTCTCGAGGTGCAAGGTGTTCGGGAGTTTTCGTATGGCCTCGACAGGATTCCAGCCTCGGGAGGCTCTCCAGCAGCTGTACCTCGCCGCGAGCGTTCCGGGCTCGCCGTGCAGTCGGATCGAGGTAGACGGTCTTCGGAAGATGCTAAGGAGATTCGAAGTGCAAGGATTTCGGAAGTTTTCGTCAGGCCTCGGCAGGATCCTCGACCTCATCAGCCCAGCCCGCCCGCGTCTTCTCCGCCGCCTTCTGTCCTGACGCGGGAGGACCCGACGGCGTGGGTGAAGGCGAAGGCGAAGAGGGTTGCGGAGCTCGCCGAGCAGGAGGAACACGAGGCGCCCACGCGCCGCCTTCGGACTCTTGTGGTGGTGAGTGGCGGCGCGAGAGGATCACGGGCCGCCACACCGGCATGACGGGCTGCATTCTAGGCTTCTTAGATGGGGTCCGAGTGGATGGGTCGGAGGAGCGGCATTGTCGATGCCCGCCGATGCGGCTCGATGTGGGGCCCGATCTTGTTCATGTCGACGTCGATGATGCATCACCCACGTCGGCGATGCATCGCCAGTGCATCGCCGATGCATCGTCGATGTATTGGCGATGCGGCGCGATCCTCCGACCCCATCTACTCCGACCCCTCTGCACCTCGCCAGCCAGCAGTCCCCTCTCCGCGGCCGTCCTCGCCTCCCCGCGCCTCCTTGGTGTCAATTCTTCATGCTTCGCGTCGCCCCACCAGGCCATTCGGAAGCCCTGCCTCTGAGAGTTGACGGAAAAAGGGACTAAGAGGCACAGCTAATGAAACAAAGCGGGCAACCAGGGTGAACAGAGAGATCGTTGGGAGCAAGGGGTGGCCTTGGAGGGCCTCTCCGGGCCATTCCTGGGGCCAGCGTGGGGGCGAGGGGAAGAAAAAGAGGAGGAGGTAGAGGAGGAGGAGGAGGAGGAGGAGGAGGAGGAGGAGGAAGACGACGACGACGACGACGACGACGACTACGACGACGAGGAAGAGGCGGGATAGGAAAATGAGGACGATGAGGGCAAGGATGAGGTCGAGGACGAGAAGGAGGAGGAGGAGAATTACGAAGAGGAGTAGGTGGAGGAGGACAACGAGGACGAGGACAGAGCACTCAAATCGCCTCTTGCAGCCCTCGTTGGGCTCTTTGAGAGAATCTTGAGGTCCTCTTGAGGCTCTTCTGGGGGGTGTTAGGGTCCTCATCGGGACTCTATTGGAGCCCTCTGGGGGGTTCCTTTGGGAGCCATGGGGTGCCTCTTGGGGCCATGCCATCGATCAAAAGGAGGGGGTCCTGACGTTTCCCCCCCCCTCCTGGGGGGCCAACATGGGCTCAACAACTTGAATTAAAATCAATGATTTTTACCTCGCTGAGGCCATCTTTGGCGCCCTGGCCGATCGCGAAACCCCTCCAAAGACCTCAGGGGGGTGGAGGTCTCCTGGAAGGGAAGACGGTTTTGTAAGAGGAAAGAAAATTATCGCTAGACCACCTTGGCCCAAAATGCTAGTTGGATTTGCCGTGTTACAGCCCCGCTCTGTGTCACCTCGCTCTGAGCGACCACCGGCGCAGCAACAAGATAGCGGCGGCATCTTGTTTTGGCCAGCCCAGCGCAAGCGTTTCATTCACGGGATTTGTATATGGTTAACGGGAGCTAAAAGGTTGGAGTGCAGGGAATTTAAGGCACTGGTGATGTGTTGAGATTCTAGGGTATTCGTGAACCGACTCGATGAGCCATGATCGAGGAATGCACGGGCACCTTGCTTCGAAGGGGCTCATCACTGTCGCCGGTCTTGACTTCGACGCATGTCATAACTCACGGGGCGAGCAGCTCTTCGAGTCACCTGGCCAGGCGCGCTTGCCTATACATCATGACCGTGCTACTGGTCCCGCCTATACTCTTCGCGAGACTGTCGTGGCATTGCTGTAACCTCGGATCAGCGGGCGTCTGTCTGCACAGGGGCAGCCCTTCCGAAGGCAGTGACAGAACAGCTGAAATATCCATCCCGCATGACATGGATTCGCCTCAGGCTGAACCCCCTCCCGACAAAATGCGAAGCAATGCTAGCAAGCGTTTCAACCAGAGGCAAACCGTACTCGGCCCCTCACCCCTCGGCGGGCGGGCGCTCAATGACCCCCTCTCGCAGTGAGTCGTCGGCGTTCGGCCTCTTCAAGGCCCTGCCAGCCTGTGAGCCCTCCCAGGGTGACTCCGGGTGTTCTAGGCTACGTAGGCCTCCCATATGGGGTCCGAGTAGATGGGGTCGGAGGATCGCGCCGCATCGCCGATGCATCGGCGATGCCGCTCGATGTGGAGCCAACTTTCTCTCACCCCGACGTCGTCGATGTATCGCCGATGTATCGGTGATACATCGGCGATGCGGCGCGATCTTCCGACCCCATCTGCTCGGGCCCCGTGTGGGAGGACTCCACCAAAAGCACCTCCAGGGACCCTGTCCAGCAGTGGGACGTCGAGCCCCAGGGACCGGGGAATGTCAATTGTCCACCTCACCGCTCATGGCTGGGCCCAGGGGGGAGGAGAGAGGAGAGAGGACGAGGAGGAGGAGGAGCAGGAGGAGGAGGAGAGTCTGGATGGCTTTACGAGGGATGCCTGTACACCGATCACGGGCCCAGGAGCGGCCCGGCTCAGCGAGGTGAATAGGTGGGAGGCCTCGCGAGGCGAGCATGGGGGGGGGTCGACAATATGGGAGGGTCAGCGGCGAGCTTTGGAGGCTCCGCGAAGCCTTCCTCCTTGGCGAGGAGGCTACTCTTTGCTTGCGTGGTCGTTGATGTGGCTAGAAGGTGAACCCTGGCCTAAACGGAGGAGGTTTGCGCGAGGGGGGCAGCTTTGCGAGTTGACCTGCAGCTTCTTACAAGCCCTCACGCAAGCAGATCATTCTGAGAAGCCCCCTCCTCTTTGAATGTCACCCCCGTCGCCCCATCCCCTGTTACGCGCTGCCAGCGGACCTCTATGCTGCCAAGCTTGCTCATCTGAACGTTTGGATCCTTGTCCCGGCACTGGAAAGCTCGATGGCCGTTCTGATGTTCCCCGAGCGCCTTCCATTACTCGTAAAGTGCCTACTTGCAAACGTTCGAAAACTATACGTCTGCCTTGGTGTCCTGGATCGTAAATCCTCCGCGGTGGGTCCAGGCCATTTGCGAGCAGTTACTCTGCGAGGAGATTCGAGAATAGTATCACAAATAGTCTGGGGACAATGTGTCTCATCTTTTTGCATATTTTTGATTATTGTTTGACTACTCTTCATTAGTCCTGCAAGCTCCGCCTGGCTCAAGCTCTGGCTCGAAGCATCCTGTCTTAAGTTCGGAGGGAAACCCATCCCCCGCCCAACGGCTTATATTCCATTTGATTGTCACGCCACACTCTGTGTGCCCACCATGAGCGCGTGCCGCGTCGCGTCCTTCGTGTCGGGGCCCGTGATCCGCTGCGCCCTGCTCGGCCTCCTCGTCGCCGCGCTGCTGACGGCGGCCTGCCTCTCCGCCTCTGGCGGGGACGCGGGCCAGAAGGTGGCCGCGGCGCTCGAGGAGACGTGGCTGGTCGTGGCCCTGCTCGTCGTCCACCTCGTGGTCTCCCGGCTCCGCGGCGACGCCCCCCCGAAGCCGCACCAGAAGAAGGCGGGCGCCGCCCTCGAGGAGCGCGGCTGCGAGGCCGCCTTCGCCCCCGCTCCTGGCGGGGCGGCGGCGCGCGGCGCCCCCTCGGGGGACGACGCGCTCCGCGCGCAGGCCATCGGGAAGCTCACCACGAGGGTCCGCACCCGGGTGCAGGCGGGCGACATGCTGGGCGCCGAGGAGTCGATGCGGGAGCTGCGCGAGGTCGGCGGTGCGCCGGGGCGCCTGCGCAGGCCCTGCTGGGCGGTGGCGTTCGGGGAGGTGGTGAGCGGCTACGTCCGCGAGGGCAGCGCCGCGAAAGCGAGCGAGTGGCTGGGCGAGTTCGCGGCGTGCGTGCCCGCCATCCGTCCCAGCACCGCGTGCGTGAATTCGGTGATCGTCGCCCTGTGCGCGAGCGGCGACGCGGCGTCCGCGGAGGCCTGGGTCGAGAGGATGCCCGAGATCGGGATCCGGGTGGGCGAGGACACGTTCTCCAGCCTCATCAGCGGCTGCTTGCGGGCGGGCGACGTGCCCCGCGGCATCCGCTGGCTCCGCGAGATGCGGAAGGCGAAGCTGCGCCCCAGCGCCGAGCTCAATTCGCTGATGGTGCAGGCGTGCGCGGGGGACTGCTAGGGGCGCCGCCGAGTGATGACTTGTCTCGGGCGCGACAGCCGCGACCCGCCCGGCCGGTAAGCGTCTTGTTGTCTTCTTTCCTCTTCTCTTCTCGCTAGGCTGGCGCAGGCAGGTCTTCATTCAAAGTGGCTCTAGTCTTGTCTGCTGCTCATCGGGCTCGTCATGACATTCACCCGAGCGACACAAAGAAAGAGGACATGCCCGACCGAACGTCATCTGTCGGAGCTCTGCGCGGATTTCTTGTCTCGGCGCTGGACCCCCCTGGTAGCGCCTCCGGCGCCGCCCCTGACGCGCTCCGCGCTCCAGGGAGGGGTTCCAGCGCCGATGCAAGAAACCATCACGGAGCTCGGGAAGTTGATGTTCATGCAGTTTTTGTTCCTCTGGCCAGGATCGCGAAGAATCACGACATCGGATGTTTGGAACGTGCATCGGAGATCCGCTCGGGTGCCCGCCGCGGTGCGCCCGCGGCCCCACAGCCCTCGTCGTGGCCTCGTGAAGGCCAGCCCAGGGAACGCCCAGGCCCAAGGCCCAGGCATCGAAGATTTGGGCATTGAGAGAACGCCTCCCCAGACAAGTCGACTAAGGAAATCTTCAAAGGCTCAATCGACATCGGCATTCGAGTGTACCGGTGCAGTCCGCAGTCGGTTTCGCTAATCGACGTGCGGCTCGCCAGATACATTCGTTTGCTTTTGGAAGTCGATTGGCTACCCCGCCTGGGTCCACTCGGAGTGCGTTGCCGTTCGCATGCGGAGTGCACCTGGCAGCTTTCACTAACATGTGTTTCTCGTAAGGGGGTTCTGTCGACCCCCGAAATTGGAGCAAAGGCATGAACTCAAACTTGTGGGGCCCCGTGCGGATGTCTTAGCTCGGCGCCTGTGCCCCCCTGGCGGCGCCTCGGGTGCCGCCCTTGCTTGGCGCGCTCCGCGCGCCAGAAGGGCGGCCCAGCGCAGATCCAAGAAATCAGCGCGGGCTCCGAAGGTTTGGGGCTCCAGCAGACCACTGCCGGGGGTCGTCACGCCACGAGCCCGCCGCAGGAGTCCGCGCGAGCCGCCGAGGTGGTCGGTGGGCTGCGGGCTCGGGCCGGGCAGACGGCCTCGCTCGCCGCCGCCGCCCCCGGGCCCCACGGCAGGGCAGAGCCTGCTGGACGAATTCGTGCAGTCAACCCGCACAGGAAGGATGGGCAGCCTTCCCAAGGGTACCCTTTGCAGCCTTGCCTCCTCGGCCCACTTCGCTGGCCGCGCCCCGCTCGCAAAGCTTCGAGGCGGCCCTCCAGGGCCCTTGCATCCTCGTCGCGCGTCCTTGCTGCACGGGCTGACCGTTCTCAAGAGCGGCTCGGAGGGGCCAAGTTCGGCCACCTGCCAGAGCTGTTCGAAGGGCCACATCGCCCACCAGACTTGCTTCGTGGGGCTCCATCGGCGCACCACTGGACCACCGGGTGGGAATTCGAACGACAAAAAATTCGAGTGGGGCTAGGACGAGGATGCATCCGTTCCAGAGCGTTCCGGAACGCTCTCAGAGCTTTCCCGAACGCTCTGAGAAGGCCGCGGCTCCCTATTCCAGTGCCGCTGGACCTCGGAGAATATCGATTTATCCTCCCCCGTTGTTATGCTCGTCCTGGCGTCGCCTCAAGAAGCTGCATGGACAGAAGCTTTGGAGCTCCGAGTATCTGCGCTGGGCCCCCCTGGCGGCGCCTGGGGCGGGCGCAGCCCGCGGCGCGCCCCCCCGCGCCAGGGAGGGGGGATCCTGCGCCGCTCCCAGAAAGTCGCGCGGACCTGCGAAAGTGTGTGCTGATGTGCTGATGCCGCTCCTGTTTCTTACTCCCCCTCCTCCAGCGTTATGAGATTCCACCTTACTTTAGCCTCGATCACAAGAGAGGATTTCGAGCACTAAGAGAGTATCGAAACTGGCGGGTTTTCGCGTATCGGGCCCTGCGAGGCGATATTCGTTCGACATTGGTTCGATAGTTTCTTGGGTGCTCGAAATGATGTATGGGATTTGCTCTTTAAGTACGATGGGAGCAGCATAACTCCAGCGACCTCCCACAAAGTAACCACAGCAAGGCCGAACCAGCACTTCTCACAGCTATGCCGCACTGGTAGCAGAGCAGCAAGCCCGAACTCGCACCAATGCTCGACCGATGGATCCTCCTCCTCCTCCCCTTCCCCTCCTCCTCCTCCTCCTCCTCCTCCTCCTCCTCCTCCTCCTCCTCCTCCTCCTCCTCCTCCTTCTCCTACCCTCCTCCCCTCCTTCCTCCTCCCTCCCCCTCGCCACACTCCTCCGCTTGGGTGTCTGGGTCGGCCTCGCTGAGGGTACATCGCTCTAGAGCGTTCCAGAACGCCCAATGTTTCGAGGGAGGCCAAATGATCGCGACCCTGACAATTGGCGTTTACTAAACGGCCCTGGGCGTTTCCTGAACGGCCCTGCCCGGTTTGCTTCCTTCTCTGGGTGCGTTTGCTACACGGCTTCGCTTGTTGAGATGTGTATTGTGGGGGTGGGTTTTGTTTGTTCCATTGTTCCTCCAATGACCCCCTCTCGCTGAAGATACATCGCTCCAGAACGTTCGGGGACGCCCTCGCAGCGTTCTTCGGGGCGCTCCAGAGCGAACGAGGCGCCAGGTTAGTTTTGGCTGGACCCGCCGGGTCTCGGAGACCCTCTCTGGCGCGAGCGGGATATGTACGGGAAGGTGCGGGGCAGAGGCGGACAAGGGTTCTTGTCTTGCTACGTTTGTCTCATCTTCCCTTGGGCCTCCTGGGAGGTCTCGTCGCCACCGATGGATTCGCCTCGAACTTGTGGTCAGAGCGCACCCCATCATCCCAGAGGTGCTGGGCATCCCGCATCGGGATGCACACTTTTGGGCGTTACGCACGCATCCCGTTCACAACGCAAGGTAAAGTTAGCATCCCGTTAACAACATGATGGTATGAAGCTGATATCGCGATGAACTCATGACCAATGATTTTCATGATATTGTGAGAAAGTCTCGGGCGAGAGCGCGATGACGCAGGACAAGGGGAGAGGGAGGCGGCGGGGGGGAGGGAGGAGGGAGGCATCCAACATGTATTCCCCGAACCCTCGATACTCGCCCTCTTCGTCTTCGATCAAGGCCGCTCAAACTCGAGGCTCGAACCTCGGCGGTGGACTTCCAGTCCGCACGCACAGCACGTGGACCTCACAGGGGAGGCGGCCCTCTCCATCCCTCGTTCTCCTCCCTCTTTCCTTTCTTATCCTCCTCCCCCCCCCCCTCCCTGCCCCCCCCAATCGGGGGGGGCAGGGCGAAGGGGGGAGGGGGGAAGGGGGGGGGGAGAGGAAGAGGAAGATAAGGAGGAGGAGGCAGGTAGGGGATGGGGACGAGGGGTGCGGAGGCGGAGGGAAAGGAGAAGGGGGGCCAAGAGCAAGAGGGAAGGGAGCAGGAGGAGGAGGAGGAGGAGGACGGGTGAACAAACGATACGGCAGAAGCATGATATCGATGCCGTCTTCCTCGAGCGTTCGGGGGGGGGGTCTTGCGCTGCGTCCGCTGGCAGTGCGCTCCGAAAGCTAGCGTGCGGGGCGGGCCGAGAGAGCGCCTTTCCTCTCCCTCCCCTGGTTCGGTGTTCCCCCCCATCGCCCTCCATGCACCCCCGTCTTGCTCCACCGCCGCTTCGCATTTCTCGCGATATCGTCCCCCGTTCCCCTCCCCTCCCCCCTCGCCCCCCCCCGCCCGCCTCCCCCTCCTCTTACCCGTTTATTGCCGCCGCCGCCCCGTGTGCGGAGCTCAACGCTAGTCCATCATGCCATTATGAACTCGAGCTCTTCATCTAGCATGTCACCGCGCATAATGGCGGGTTGCCCGCTGCTGTGAAGCGGGCCTGCGTAGCCGGCGATATACCACCAAGAGCAATGCAGGCCTCGACTGGACAACTCATTCATCCAGTCGTAAGTCAAAGAACGCCAAGGCTCCTCAGCTAGATCCCACTTCGTCTTCAGAAGTTCAGGCCAACCCTGGAGTGGCTGGGAGGAGCGGGGTGAGGGGGGGAGGAGGAGGGGGGGGCGAGGAGGAAAGAGAACGAAGGGGGGAGGAGGGGTGCAGGAGGAGGAGGAGGAGGAGGAGGAGTTGGAAGGGGGGCAAGAGTATACACCTGGCCCACGGATGCACGGATCTTTAGGTCAAGGGCGGCCATGTACGCCCGCTTGCACGTGTTGGCCATGCGCCTGATGCTGAACGCTAGCTCCTACGTGCGGGGACGTCGGTTGCGGCCCAAACACCGTCGCCTACCCCCGCGCCAACGCCCGACGGACCCAGGAAACCACCCGAGCCCGAACAACCTGAACTCGAGCACGGGATCCCATGGAACTTGCAGTGGGAATTGGTGGCGAAAGCGTTTAGGCCGCGAGCCCGTCCTGAACCAGAGTTAGAGGGGCTCTCACCCGATACCCTGTACCAACTATTATCGCCGCTGGCCATACACGATCGTCGTCAGAATCCACATCCATTGAAGGCAGCGCAAACGGGCCCCAGGAGCCACCCCAAGCTATCTTGAGCACACCTTTTCGATTGTTAGGTTGTCTGCGTACGCTGATCCCCCCTGACCCTCTTCCCCCACCCCCCATACATCCCCTCCGAGCCCGCCCGCTCTCTCCCCCCCCTCTCTCTTTCTCTCTCCCTCTCTCTCTCTCTCACCCTCTCCCCTCTCTATCTCTCTCTCTCTCTCGCCCCCGCCCCCTGCCTGCCCATCATCCGGCCCTCCCGCCTGCAGAAATTCACATCGGCAATCTCGCCGCTCGCGCGCCGCCTCCGTCGTCGATGTCATCGCGAATGTCACCGCAGTGACGTTGGCGATGACGAGGGGCGGCGCGCGGGCGGCTAGACTGCTGACGCGAGCGAACGTCGCCATGGAGCTCGTGGAGCTGATCATCAGCAGACACGGCGGGGATGGGGAGTGTCCAATCCATTTTCTGCCTCTCCGCCGCTGCTGCGCGCAACGTGCCGCCAGCTAATTGTTTCCAGCCGAGCCCATCGCGATGACTCCACGATGTCAGCGCGAGAGCGTTGCCCTCTGCACTCTGCCAGTCTATCGGAACGCTCACCGTACCCCATGCTGCTAGCTCCCCCCGCTCTCGATGACCTAACCCGCCCCCTCGACTCCCTCCCCCTCGCGCTCTTTCCCGCCCGTCCCCCTCCCATTGTTCGCCTCGCCCTCCCTGCCCCCGCGCTCGAATCACCCGCGCACGGCAGTCGCTGCCTTCGCAGAGACATCCAAACTTGCAATTGCGGCAGTGGCGACGAGCTGGCAAAACATCTCAGGATACGCTGACGATTGTTTCAACGCACCTTTTTTGCCATTAAACCAGTGGCCTCTGTACCAGCCAGTGCTCGACTTACCAGATGCTTTTGCTCGCCTCACGGCGAGATGCTTGCCCGAAATCGCTTTGGATTTTCGCGCCTCTCTCTTGCCCCGAACAAAAGAACACATGCGGTGAGCGGCCATCGTGCCCCAGAGCTCCAGGGGGTTTATCGTTGCCCCGCCCATGGCGCCCATGCACGTGACCACGCGGGTCGCGTGAACATCAGAAAGGCCTGCCTTGATTGTCAGCACATTGTAGAGCATGCTGTTCAACGGCTGCTCGACGACGAACGCGACCCCCCGCGAGGCCGCCACGGTGATCATCACTGACCTCTGGGGCGCGGGGCCGCGGGCGCGGAACCCCTCCCCCCCGTGGCCAGTTTTGGTGGGATCGGGTAAAAAGAAACGCAATGGCGAATCCGATGTTTGAATGCGGCCCCTGGGCCCTCTTTGTGCCCCCTCCCCCCTTCCTCTTCCCTGTCCTCCTCCTCTTCCTCCTCCTCATCCCCCTCCCCCTAGTTGCATTTCCCCATATAAATGCCCCCCCCCCCCCCCCCCATGCATACCCTCATCGTTGTGAATCTTCTCCGTCATATGTAGACTTGTTCTCGGTATCCTCGTCTATCTCTCTCTCTCTCTCTCTCTCTCTCTCTCTCTCTCTCTCTCTCTCTCTCTCTCTCTCTCTCTCTCTCTCTCCCCCTCCTCCTCCTCCTCCTCCTCCCTCCTCCTCCTCCTCCTCCTCCTCCTCCTCCTCCTCCTCCTCCCCCCTCCTTCTCCCCCTCCTCCTCCTCCTCCTCCAGTGAGGGGGAGCGGCAGCACGGAGCAGGGAGAGCAAGCGCGCGCACGTCGCCTGCCTCCCCCGCTGGATTTCACCACCCCCCCAGCGGACAACGATGTTGCGCACCAATTCGCCTCGTCGACGTCCTCGCGGCCAGTCGTGCCGAGGGGATTGGACAGGCTGCGAAGCGTGTAACGACGCGTCATGCATATCCACGTCGAGCACTGCGGCGAAATCCAGCACAGGCCCGACTCCACCACGCTCCCGAGCACCCATAGCAAATACAGAGCTCCCACGAGAGTGCACCTCAATCTTACAATGTCTATTCATAATATCAACCCCGCCCTGCCCAC